TTTAGCCTATACTAGGACATAAGCACATACTGAGACATACTGGATATAAAATGTTGTGGCTCCCAAGGTGTTTGATTTTTTTTGGAAGGACAAACTGGCTCTTCTTAACATCTGGGTTGTCGACTCCTGACCGAACCTAGCTTTTAATGCAGAGGGCGCCGGTCGGATTTCTCGCTCATCCAGTTGTGTTTTTGTTATGTGCACATCACAGAGTGTCCAGGCGCTGCACTTCAGCACTTCCAAGTTCCACCTTTTTTGTTCCGTCAACGTTACGTTATAAATTAAAATTTAGAAAATCGATTTTTGGCATTTGTGAATCGATTCAGAATCGCCCACGTCCGCATCGCGATGCATCTAAGAATCGATTTTCCCCCCACCCCTATACAGTACTGTGCAAAAATCAGAGACCCTTCATTTTTTAATTCCTCATCAAAACAGCCATTAAGTACAAGTTATTAATTTTTACGAGATATTTATGAGATTAGATATAAAATAATACACTTGTATAAGGAGGTTGAAAGTTGAAAAAATAAGCAAAAAACAGGACCCCTAGCAACCATGGTTATGGCTGCATATGCATGCAAGACCTGGTAGAGCACAAAAACTGTTACCTTCAGATAAACAGTACAGGGTGATTCAAAAAGATTCATCCGATTTCAAAGTGCCATAGTTTTACAACCTAGGAACCAATCACATACCAATTGAAAGAGGGGATCATAGAGTTTCTGGCCATCACCAGAAGATGGCTCCCTCCAGTCTGCGAGGAGATGGCGACCCCTGAGCAGAAAGCGTTTTGCGTTCTCCACTTCAATAAGAGTGAATCCACCATAACTGTGCAACAAGATTTTTGTCGGCAGTGAACCTTTAACAGCTCAGAACGTTCATCGTTGGTTCCACAACCACAGAGCCATAAGTACAGTGAGAGGTCACGCAGAGGAGGTCATATTGAGCACTTGTAAAATTACATAATAAACTTTATGCTCACTTAGACCATTTACAATTTACTGCATTGTTCAACAATGATTTACAAGTGAAATAAATTATTTTGAAATTGGATGAATCTTTTTTAAACACATACTTAAAGCTTTCATCTTTGAGAGACAGGAGATTATCAACTTCCACTCTTGCTTCAGATCTGATAAAATCTACTAGTGTTCCTGTCCATCTGTGAGTAGACAACTCAACGCTAAGAGAAAAACAAAAACTGCTGTTGTTCTCAGAGGAATGGGCTGACCACTCCAATGTCCAGAATTCAGCATCACTGAATGTGCTTGAGATTACTTGGTTTGTAAGCAGAACATGCAACCAACTTCTACAACTGAACTTTGAAATGTGGAAAAACATCTAGCAGATTTCTGTGAAAACCAGACAGAAACTTTCCTGAAAAGAATAGAGGCTTAATAAAGTCAAAGGGTGGACATCCTAAGTACTGAAAACTTGAGTATTTAATTGCAGTTTTTGATTAAAATAAATTAAAGATGTTCTTTGACTTTTCACAGTATTAGACGTTTTATGACAGAAAATGTAAAGTCAAGCTGAAAAACATTGCTCCCATGAGTTTCAAAACAACTGGCTACATATTTTGTTTTGCAATCATTTGGTGTGAGATTTGATTCATATCAAATCTTGAAATTTGATTCATATAAAATGCATTTCTCAAACCCAATGTCAGTTTACAGAAGTGCACCATAAATAAAATCAGTAAGGAAGAAAAAATACAACAATAGCAATGATAAAAAGGACAGTAAGCAGAAAAGAGGGAATAAATGTCTTTGTTGTTATAATTTGTACTGTTGGTGTCTTTTTGAATCAACATCAGTCCACCACAGACACAATCATCCACAATGCAGGTCGTTCTACCATTGCAATGACTTTGAAGACAATGAAACCATGGGTTCAAAATAAGAATGAAGTACAGAAAGCTAATATCTGCATATTCTTGGCTCTGTTCATAAATTAACCAAGAAAACCTATGATAATTAGTCTATTTGAATTGTTATTTTAGTGATTTTAGTCATATTGTGCATGAAAAACAGCACATCACAGCACTGACTTCACAGATGCAGACGTATTACTTTTATGTAAAACAGCAATGTTGATGCCTGATTTTCAGTTTAAATGGTAAAATGCATTCAAATTGTCTGTTCCATGTTAAAATGATTTAAAATATATAGATGTTATTTTTGAAAAGAAATCTTGTCCCTAGGTTTTTTTGTCAGTAGTGTTACAGAAACATAAAAAGTTGAAAGTCTTTTTGAATTACTTTGTGTAAGTCCATGGTTAATAAAATCACTTATTATATTTCTGATAAATTTGACTAAAATCCTAATGAGTTCATTTGTTGCAAAAATATTGTCTTAGTAGTGTTAAGTAATTTTAAAAATGAAAATAACAACATGAAACAAATTTTGTTTTTGTTTTTTTTTACTCTTGAATTAAAGGTCATTTGTAGCCTGTTTGCCACTACAATGTACATTATATATTACATTTATAGTGTAGATCTAGAAAAAGGACATTAAATACCACATTAATAGTGTATTTCTATAAAAAGAGCATTAAATACTACATTTTAGTGTAGTTCTAGGAGAAAGTCAAACTGCACTGTATTAGTAGTTCAGCAGAGAGCAAAAGGACCATTGGCTATAACCTGCTGTCCTTTAAACACCTTTACAACAACACATCCAACAAGAGAGCAGGCCACAGATTTCCTCACAGATCTTACTCTATTCTATATTGCATAGACACTCTATTTTATATTGCATATTTTTCTATTCTATATCATATACTATATCCTCTACTGTACACAATGAAAGGGTGAAGTTACCACCAGTCGGTGTAGACTCTCAGTCTATGCACAGTGTAAATTCTACATACAACAAAACACACTAGATAGCACTTCTTCCACTAGTTTTATTTTATTCTATTTCATTTTTCATTCTATTATTTATTAATATTTTCTTATTTTATTACTATTTTTTTCTATTTTCCTTTTACTTTATTTGTTGTATTATTCATTGCTATACTTAAGACAAATTTCTTTTAAGTGATATATTATTTGGGCAATAAAATCATTTCTGATTATGAGTATAATTTATATAATATAATATAATGTATATGTACATCTGTATGTACACGTATATGTACTGCATAGTATAATGGTGTTCATATTGTCTAAAGATTCGCACCCCCACCTTGAGGTGACAACTAGCCAAGTGAAGAGACAGCTGGAGAAGCTGAAAGTGAGCAAAGCTGCTGGACTGGATGGGATCTTCCCGAGAGTCCTGAAGGTTTGGTCCTCTCAGCTATGTGGGATACTTCAGCATCTCTTCAACCAGAGCCTTAAACAAGGGCATGTGCCAGTGCTGTGGAAAACATCCTGCCTGGTTTCTGTCCCAAAGAAGTCATCTATCTCCTCTTTCATTGACTACAGACCAGTGGCCCTTACATCCTACATCATGATAGTCTTGGAGAGACTAGTGATGTCACATCTTAGACCTCAGGCCAGCTCTTTCCTGGACCCCCTGCAGTTTGCTTACCAACAGCAGGTTGGTGTGGACAACGTTGTTATTTATCTACTGCAGAAGGCACATTCCCATTTGGACCAGAACAAAATTATAGTGAGAATCACTTTTTTTGACTTCTCAAGTGCATTTGATACCATCCAGCCTCTCATGCTGGGGGAGAAGATGGAGAAAATGATTGCATGGGTCTTAGATTACCTGTCTGGAAGACCCCAGTATGTGCGGTTGGGAACCTGCCTGTCAGACCATCTGGTCAGCAGCATTGGAGCACCTCAGGGACCTGTGCTCTCCCCTTCCTCTTCACCCCGTACACGACAGACTTCCAATACAAGTCGGACCTCCGCCACCTTCAGAAATTTTCTGATGACTCTGTGGTGGTTGGGTGCATTAGGAATGTGCAGGAAGGAGACTATAGGAACCTTGTGGACAGCTTCATTGAGTGGTGTATGACAAACTACCTGATCCTCAATATCACCAAGACCAAGGAGATGGTGATGGACTTCAGGAGGAAGAGGACCACGATCAGTCCCGTTTCAGAACGTTGAGACACCTACAAATATCTGGATGTCTTGCTTGGCAACAAACTGGACTGGAGGGCCAACACAGATGCTGTGTACAGGAAGGGGATGAGCAGTCTCTACTTTCTGAGAAGGCTCAGGTCCTTTAATGTGTGCACCAAGTGTTGGTGATCTTCTACCAGTCTGTTGTTGCGGGTGCTGTCTTATTTGCAGCAGTCTGCTGGGGAGGCAGCATCAGAGGAGGAGATACAAAAAGGCTTAATAAACTGATTAGGAAGGCTGGTTCTGTCTTGGGATGCTCACTGGATGGTTTTGAGGTGGTGGTTGAAAGGAGGTCACTTAATAAACTCACTGCTATCCTGAACAATACATCACACCCCCTCCATGACCTACTGGTCAGACAGCGGAGCACCTTCAGCAACAGACTCATTCAGCTCCGCTGTAGGTCGTTCGTACCAACAGCGATCGTACTGTACAACACCTCGTCAGTGAGCCGGGACATTATTGTACAGTGAGCCACACATTTTGCACTGCCACTCTGTTTACTTTGTTTATCATATCTGATACTGCACTGCCGCTTGTTTATTTTGTTTATTTGTCCACCAATATTGCACAAAGCACTGTGTTTTGTGCATACACATGTTACTTTTATTGTTTACTGTTTAGTATATTTTATTCTATTATTTATTTCTACTTTCTTTTTATATCTGTAAAAAGTGTGCAGTAATACTTTGCTCCTTTGTTTGCTCTTACTGTGCTTTGTACTCTGTACTCTCTGTCCCCTCTCCTCCAGTCCGCTGGTGGCGGTAAAGACCTCTGCGCTGCTGTGGGTGGCGGAGAGAGAGAGAGAGAGAGAGAGAGAGAGAGAGAGAGAGAGAGAGAGAGAGAGAGAGAGGAGAGAGAGAGAGAGAGGAGAGAGAGAGAGAGAGAAGGAGAGAGAGAGAGAGAGAGAGAGAGAGAGAGAGAGAGAGAGAGAGAGAGAGAGAGAGAGAGAGAGAGCTGGTTTAACAAAGTTCAGTTTACTTATGAAGTTAGCTTAGTACGTTATGGGGAAAACTATGGCGTAAACCTTAGAATCTGCCTGATTAAGACGAAGAAACATCGACAAGTAAGTTTAAAGATTCGATTAAACTTCGAGTCACTAAACTGCAGCATTAAATCTTAGATATTCTGCAGCGTTTTACCCTTTAACTTAGTTTAGTTGTATGCTTTCATTGTACTTCTAACGTTAATCTCAGTTTATAGATGTTCTTTTACTGTGGCTGCAGTGTTCGTTCAGAGGTCTATTCTTTTCCCATAACGGGAAATAACTTCTTTAAAACTAGGTTGATAGTAACCAGTGACTCATTAGGTAAAGGCTTTTAAAATGATCAATGCCTTTTTAAACCTTGAGTTTTACGTGTGATTCCCGGTGATTTTGGATATAGGGTCATTCCATACCAACTCACCTAGCCACCGAGTTCATGTCATGGATTTTCTTGAAAAAAAATCATGTGAAACTTGGGACTTTGAAAAGTAGTGGATATATGTATTTTTATAATTTAATTACTGTGAAACATTCAACAACAACCCAACACGAATACATGTTGCAAATTATGCTTAGGGCTTCTTGGATGTTCAGTACAACCCAGTCCAGCGGAAAAATAAGCAATTGGTGACGCTTAGAGTGCACATTGAAAGAATCGCAAAAATGATGGAAAGAGCCAAACTTTAAAAATGTATAATGAATGGTCCCATGAATTTATTAGAAGTTTTCAAATTATTTTTTTCAAGAAAATCTGTGACATGAACTAGGAGGGTTAGGCAAGTTGGTATGACCCTATTGGTAGTTAGGTTAACTACCCAACTTCCTCATAAGTAGCATTGAAGTAATTGAATATGAATGTATCATAGCCACTGCATACTTGTTACTATAGGCCTACATCTTGTTTTACAATCTAATAGATTTAAACTAAAAACGTTAGGTAAGATAGGTAAGAAAAACTAACACTAAACTGCATCCAGTGTAAAAGTGGTTCTATATAGTGCTAAAAAAAATACTTAAAAACTGAGTGACTTGTAAAGGTGCAGTGGAACTTCTTAGTACATCCAGCATCGATCAGCATAAGAAGCAAAATTTCTTTGACGACCAAAAAAGAAAATTAGGCATAAAATGAGAATGACTATAACACAGTTGTTTTATCATTTGAAAGGCACAAATTCAGGATGCACAATGATATCAGAATCATATTAGTATCATATCAGTATCTGCAGCCAATTGCTTAAAATAATATATCGGGAAGATGTTTAGATTTGACCGATATTTAAAACCACTATTTGGTTTGTATTAATTGTACTCTAGGACAACAGTATGTTTAGGTGTTGCTGGGCAACAGTGCTAAAATGTATATGTTATATTCATTAAATTAATTTTACTGCATTTTTAACCCTCTACATATTGATAGTATTCTGATCACATCACAGTCACACTGTCACCATTTTTGTAGGCAATATCAAGTTCATTCAGCAGCGCTGTGGCGGTTTGTAATGAGATGAAATCTAAATTGGGGGCTCGTCCGTTTGTGGCGATTTGCCACGTGTTATGTCTTTTGATCTAACTGCATTTGTTCTTTCTCCTTCTGTAGACGCTCTCGATAAGTGCACTAAGGCTGATTTGTATGCTTTGGCGGATCACTATCATATATTTATTCCCAAATCTGTATATAAGCGTGATCTCCAGCTTTTCTTGTGTAATCAGCTGATGGAGCGTCGGGTATTACCAGGTGATCCTGAGTTGGCTGCAGGTGTTGCTGTGGGTGGAGATGGTGCTGGAGTCAGAGTGGGGGCGACGGCTGCAGCCTCCTCCCTAGGCATGGATCCTGCTCAGTCTCAGGTCATTGGCGATACAAGGGCGCTAATTCGCTTAAAAGAGTTAGAATTACAGGTTGAGCGAGACAGATTATGTCATACGTCACATCAATATGCTGAAGCGCTACATTCCTCGTGAGGCTGCGTTTGTGCACCCGGTGGGTGAGGAAAAATGCGTTGCTGCAGTTTCTGTTTTGACACCTGTTACTATTGCTGCATATGATGCTGCGGAAGATGGTTTGAAAATACGAAATGTTTCTGTGTGCGCAAGACTTCAAAATTCTGAGATTCTGGCGGACTTAGATACTCAGTTGTCATATTTGTCTGGCCAAGCTCGACAGGATATTATTGACTTGATCTGTAATTATGAAATGTTGTTTTCTGATGTTCCGACTCAAACAACTGTTTTACAACATGACATTGATGTAAATAATCATCCTCCAATCAAACAGCACGCATATAGAGTTAACCCAGAAAAACGTAAACTTATGCGAGATGAGACTGATTATTTATTGCAAAATGGTTTTGCTATTCAAAGTTCAAGTGCATGGAGTTCACCCTGCCTTCTGGTGCCAAAGCCTGATGGTTCATCTCGGTTTTGTACTGATTATAGGAAATTAAATGCGATTACTATATCGGATTCTTTTCCGCTCCCTAGAATGGATGATTGCGTAGATAATGTGGGGTCTGCTAGTTATGTTGCAAAATAGGACCTTCTTAAAGGTTACTTGCAAGTTCCCTTAACCCCTCGTGCATCCCAGCTTTCTGCCTTTGTCACTCCAGACGCGTTTCTACAGTACACAGTGATGGCTTTCGGTCTCAAAAATGCACCAGCTACTTTTCAACGTTTAATGAACCAGGTTTTATCTGGTGTTGAAAATTGTGAGGCTTATTTGGATGATGTGGTAATTTATTCCACTACTTGGGCTGAACATGTTGCTACATTAACGACTGTATTCGATCGTTTAAGAGATGCTTCTTTAACATTGAATTTGGCCAAGTGTGAATTTGGAAAGGCTAATATCACTTATTTGGGAAAACAGGTTGGCCAAGGGCAAGTGTGCCCTGTTGAAGTAAAAGTGTCTGCTATCACAGAGTTTCCGGTCCCAAAATCAAAACGTGATCTTCACCGTTTTCTTGGTATGGCCAGGTATTACCGTTGCTTTTGTAAGAATTTTGCCTGTGTTGCTTTACCATTGACTTCTTTGCTTAGTGCCTCAAAACCATTTGTGTGGACTGAGGATTGTCAGCGTGCCTTTGATTCGATTAAGGCATTGTTGTGTGGTGCTCCAGTATTGGCAGCCCCAAACTTTGCTCTGCCATTTCAGTTGGAGGTGGATGCAAGTCATGCTGGGGTTGGAGCCGTGCTGTTGCAGGAAAATAAAGCTGGAATTCAACAACCTGTTTGTTGTTTTTCAAAGAAGTTTGTGAAACATCAGTTAAATTACAGCACAATTGAGAAAGAGGCTCTTGCACTTCTGTTGGCTTTACAGCATTTTGAAGTTTATTTAGGCTCCAGCTCTTTTCCAGTTGTGGTGTATACAGATCATAACCCACTTGTGTTCTTGCATCGCATGTGCAATTCCAATCAGCGTTTAATGAGATGGGCTTTGCTTGTACAAGAATTTAATTTGGTTATTCATCATAAGAAGGGAACAGAGAATGTAGTAGCAGATGCGCTTTCTCGTGCGTAATAAGTGGATTCGCAGGCTATTTTGAAAACTGATGTTAATAAATTTATGTTACGACCTCCTATGTCTAGGGGAACACTTAAGGTCGTACATAAAAAAAAAAGACAAGCCAATGCCATCCAACTGCCAGACCAAGACACCACCAACTACAAATAATATATATCACTTATCAGCATTTATTTCTTTTAACTTGAACAAGTTAAAAGCACCATCTTATAGAAGTTGGTAAGGCTAGTTTTAAACTGATCAAATGCAAATGAGCTTACACAAAAATAAACTTCAGGGGGTGAGATAAAGTCAAAACAAACTAGAAACAAAGGATAGCTAAACTAATCTAACTCAAAACAAAATTACAATGATAAGACTACTTCCCTGTCCCAAACCAGGAGAATTCAATATACAAAAAAAAAAAACATAAGGCACTCACCCCCTTACTTAGAAAAGGAAAGCTTTACAGCCTGCGAATCCACTTATTACGCACGAGAAAGCGCATCTGCTACTACATTCTCTGTTCCCTTCTTATGACGAATAACCAAATTAAATTCTTGTACAAGCAAAGCCCATCTCATTAAACGCTGATTGGAATTGCACATGCGATGCAAGAACACAAGTGGGTTATGATCTGTATACACCACAACTGGAAAAGAGCTGGAGCCTAAATAAACTTCAAAATGCTGTAAAGCCAACAGAAGTGCAAGAGCCTCTTTCTCAATCGTGCTGTGATTTAACTGATGTTTCACAAACTTCTTTGAAAAATAACAAACAGGTTGTTGAATTCCAGCTTTATTTTCCTGCAACAGCACGGCTCCAACCCCAGCATGACTTGCATCCACCTCCAACTGAAATGGCAGAGCAAAGTTTGGGGCTGCCAATACTGGAGCACCACACAACAATGCCTTAATCGAATCAAAGGCACGCTGACAATCCTCAGTCCACACAAATGGTTTTGAGGCACTAAGCAAAGAAGTCAATGGTAAAGCAACACAGGCAAAATTCTTACAAAAGCAACGGTAATACCTGGCCATACCAAGAAAACGGTGAAGATCACGTTTTGATTTTGGGACCGGAAACTCTGTGATAGCAGACACTTTTACTTCAACAGGGCACACTCGCCCTTGGCCAACCTGTTTTCCCAAATAAGTGATATTAGCCTTTCCAAATTCACACTTGGCCAAATTCAATGTTAAAGAAGCATCTCTTAAACGATCGAATACAGTCGTTAATGTAGCAACATGTTCAGCCCAAGTAGTGGAATAAATTACCACATCATCCAAATAAGCCTCACAATTTTCAACACCAGATAAAACCTGGTTCATTAAACGTTGAAAAGTAGCTGGTGCATTTTTGAGACCGAAAGCCATCACTGTGTACTGTAGAAACGCGTCTGGAGTGACAAAGGCAGAAAGCTGGGATGCACGAGGGGTTAAGGGAACTTGCCAGTAACCTTTAAGAAGGTCCTATTTTGTAACATAACTAGCAGACCCCACATTATCTACGCAATCATCCATTCTAGGGAGCGGAAAAGAATCCGATATAGTAATCGCATTTAATTTCCTATAATCAGTACAAA